TTTTAATATAATTTTAATATATTTAATATATTTTATGTTCTTTATATTAATATCCGTATAAAAATACATCATATATGAATTAGGGAATGGTGGGATTTGGGTAAAAAGAGGATAAAACCGGATAAAATCAATATATTGAGAGAAAAATATGGGAAAACAACCCGGGAATCGCCAAAGGGAATTGTGGGATTTGGGTAAAAAGAGGATAAAAATGGATAAAATCAATATATTGGGGGAAAAATATGGGAAAACAACCCGGGAATCACCAAAGGGAATTGTGGGATTTGAAGATAAAGGGGATAAAAATGGATAAAATCAATATATTGGGAGGAAAAATATGGGAAAACAACCCGGGAATCACCAAAGGGAAAAGCAGAATTCCTCTTTTTGGCGCTCTCCGGGCTCAAACTTCCATGGAATTCTGAGGATTTGGAGACAAAAAGGGGATAAAAGTCGATAAAATCAATATATTGGGAACAATCTCCTTCCCGGGTCCCCCCTGGTGCCCCCAAATCCCGATTTTCCCGTTTTTTCCCCATTTTCGAGGGTCCCCGGACAGTTTCGAGGCCGATTACGACGACGTCTCCCTGGCGGAGCCGGAACCGCCCAGCAAACCCGGCACAGGTGACACCCCCGGGAAACGGGAATTTCGGGGTTAATCCCTCCTCAAAATGGGAATTTTGGGGTTAATTCCTCCCCAGAAATGGGAATTTGGGGGTTAATTTCACCTCAAAATGGGAATGTGGGGGTTAATTCCCCCTCAAAATGGGAATTTGGGGGTTGATTCCTCCCTGGAATGGGAATTTGGGGGTTAATTCCACCTCAAAATGGGAATTTTGGGGTTAATTCCTCCCCAGAAATGGGAGTTTGGGGGTTAATTCCCCCTCAAAATGGGAATTTGAGGATTAATTCCTCCCTGGAATGGGAATTTGGGGGTTAATTCCCCCTCAAAATGGGAATTTCGGGGTTAATTCCCCCTCAAAATGGGAATTTTGGCTTGATTCCTTCCCAGAAATGGGAATGTGGGGGTTAATTCCACCTTGGAATGGTGGATCAGGATCAGATCCCGATGGACCAGGATTAGGGTCAGGATTGGACCCCATGGATCAGGATTGGACCCTATGGATCAGGATTAGACCCCCAGGACCAGGATCAGGCTGAGGATTAGAGCCCATGGATCAGGATTAGAGCCCATGGATCAGGATTAAGACCAGGATTATCCCCCCAGGCCCAGGGTCAGGCTCAGGATTAGACCCCATGGATCAGGATCAGGCCCAGGATCAGCCCCCCGTGCCCAGGATGATTCCAGGACTGACCCCATCCCGTTTTTCCCAGTTTATTCCCTGGCGGGCTCTCCAAGCCCCTCCCAGCCGGGCCCTCCCCCCTCCTGCGGCGCCGTCGCTTTTCCAGCGGGGCCGGAGCCCAAAAAGCGGGATTGGGATCGGCATTCCCGGGGGCTGGGCCGGGCTGGGGCCGTCCTGTCCGTCCTGCTGGGGCTGAGCATCCTGGCTGGGACCCTCCTGCTCGGGCTGGCCATGGAAAAACGTGAGTGGAATGGGATAATGGGATGGGAATGGGATGGGAATGGGAACAGGACCCTCCTGCTCGGGCTGGCCATGGAAAAACGTGAGTGCATTGGGAATGGGAATGGGAATGGGAATGGGAATGGGAATGGGAATGGGAATGGGATGGGATGGGAACGGGACCCTCCTGCTCGGGCTGGCCATGGAAAAACGTGAGTGGATGGAATGGGAATGGGAATGGGATGGGATGGGAACGGGAATGGGATGGGATGGGAACGGGACCCTCCTGCTCGGGCTGGCCATGGAAAAACGTGAGTGGATTGGGATAATGGGAATGGGAATGGGAATGGGATGGGATGGGATGGGATGGGATGGGATGGGAATGGGAATGGGAATGGGAATGGGACCCTCCTGCTCAGGCTGGCCATGGAAAAACGTGAGTGGATTGGGATAATGGGGTGGGAATGGGAAAATGGGATGGGAATGGGAATGGGAATGGGATGGGATGGGATGGGATGGGATGGGATGGGAATGGGAACGGGACCCTCCTGCTCGGGCTGGCCATGGAAAAACGTGAGTGGATTGGGATAATGGGGTGGGAATGGGAATGGGATGGGATGGGATGGGATGGGAAAATGGGAATGGGAATGGGATGGGATGGGATGGGAAAATGGGAATGGGAATGGGATGGGATGGGATGGGAAAATGGGAATGGGAATGGGATGGAAATGGGATGGGATGGGAATGGGATGGGAATGGGAATGCGAATGGGATGGGATGGGATGGGATGGGATGGGATGGGGATGGGGATGGGGATGGGAATGGGAATGGGAATGGGAAACTGGGATGGAAGTGGGATGAGAAAATGGGGTGGGAAAACGGAGTGGGGTGGGAATGGGATGGGAATGGGAGTGGGACAGGAAAGTGGGGTGGGAATGGGGATGGGATGGGAATGGGAATGGGAATGGGGATGGGAAACTGGGATGGGAATGGGAAACAGGTTTGGGAAACCAGGATGGGAATGGGGATGGGAGTGGGAAGGGAAAGTGGGATGGGAATGGGAATGGGAACGGGAATGGGAATGGGAATGGGGATGGGAGAGGGATGGGAAAGTGGGATGGGAATGGAGATGGGATAGGATGGGAATGGGAAGGGAATGGGAATCGGATGGGAACGGGGATGGGAAACTGGGATGGGAAACTGGGATGGGATGGGAATGGGAAACCCAGGATGGGAGTGGGAATGGGAGCAGGAATTTGGGCAAAACTGGCCCATTCCCCACTAAAAATGGGACTTTTTTGTGTTTAATTTGGATTTTGGGGTTTGATTCCAATCGGAAATGGGAATTTTGGGGTTTAATTGTGCTGTGGGATGGGAATTTTAGGGTTAATTCCATCTTAAAATGGGAATCCCAGGGTTTAATTCCACCTCGGAATGGGAATTCTGGGGTTTAGTTCCAATTTGGCATCGGAGCTTTGGGGGTTAATTCCAGCTGGGAATGGGAATTTTAGGGTTGATTTCGGCTCCAAATGGGATTTTAGGGTAAATTCCACCCTAAAATCGGAATTCCACCTGGGAATGGGATTTAATTCTGCGCCAAAATGGGAATTTTTGGGTTCACTTCCACCTCCAAATTGGAATTTTGGGATTTAATTCCACCTCCAAATTGGAATTTTGGGATTTAATTCCACCCAGGGATGGGAATGTTGGGGTTTCCCACCCCCCATTCCCTCCAGGGCTCAATTCCAGAGTAAATCCCCCTTGGAATTCCCCCCTCAAAAATCCAGAAATGATTCCCCATTTGGCCCCAAAATCACCCAAATTCCCCCCAGGAATTCCTCAGGATCCATCCGTGGCTTTTCCTTAAATTTCCCTTCCAGACAGAGAAATTATGGCAGAATTGAAGCTCCTGAAGTCGAACTGCTCGGAAAACCAGGAATCCGGTGAGTCCTTGGAATCCCACCTGCAGAAATTCCTTGGAAAATGTCCTTTGGGGGGGATATTTGTCCATTTCCTGGCATTTTTTTGGGTGTAAATTGAGGGAAAAATTGGAATTATCTGCCCCAAAAATCTCCCAATTCTGCAACCTCCGTTCGTGATCCCAGCGGGAATCCCGTTGGGAATGGGGGAGCTCATCCCAAATTCCGAAGGGATTCACCCCCAGATGTCGGGAATTGGAGCAAATTCCCCCTCCCCCCCTTGGGATTTTCGGGGATTTATCCCGAAATTGGGTTGGGATCCCTGGTTGGGATTTTATTGGGAAAAAGGGGGGGAAATTCCACCCCTTTTTCCCCTGGGAAAAGTTACGGGAAGGGCGGAAATCCGTCGGAAAATCCGGGGAAAAAACCCGATTTCATCGGGAAAATTCCGATTGTTGCCAAAAAATCAGAGAATTTTGGGAATTTTGGGGAGATTTGGTGGGAAAAAAGTCCCCCAAAATTCCCTGTTCCGTAAAATCCTGGAATTCCGGGGTCGGAAAAGGGGTCTGGGGGCTGTTCCGGCCGGGATTGGGGGGCTCCAGGGAGGGAGAAAGGGACAAATCTGACACTGGGATGATGTTGGGATGTACTGGGAGGGAACTGGGAGCACTGGGAGGGAACTGGGAGCACTGGGATGGGCACTGGGAGGGAACTGGGAGCACTGGGAGGGCACTGGGAGGGAACTGGGAGGGAACTGGGAGCACTGGGAGGGCACCAGGAGCACTGGGAGCACTGGGGAGGACACTGGGAGAGACTGGGAGGGTACTGGGATGGCACTGGCAAGGCACTGGGAGCGCTGGGAAGGCACTGGGAGCACTGGGAGCACTGGGAGGGCACTGGGAAGGCACTGGGAGCACTGGGAGCACTGGGAGCACTGGGATGGCACTGGGAGCACTGGGAAGGCACTGGGATGGCACTGGGGCGTTACTGATCCATACTGGTCCATACTGGTCTGTACTGGTCCATACTGGTGCAGTGTGGTGGCTCTGGGGGCAGGGCAGCAGCAGCAGACTGGGAGCACTGGGATGGCACTGGGAGCACTGGGAGCACTGGGATGGCACTGGGAGCACTGGGAGCACTGGGAGCACTGGGAATAACTGGGAAGGCACTGGGAGCACTGGGATGGCCTTGGGAAGGCACTGGGAGCACTGGGAAGGCATTGGGAGCACTGGGATGACACTGGGATGGCACTGGGAAGGCACTGGGAGTCACTGGGAGCACTGGGATGGCACTGGGAGCACTGGGAGCACTGGGAGCACTGGGAGCGCTGGGAGCACTGGGAAGGCACTGGGAGCACTGGGATGGGCACTGGGATGGCACTGGGATGGGCACTGGGAGCACTGGGAGCACTGGGAGCACTGGGAGCACTGGGATGGGCACTGGGAGCACTGGGATGGGCACTGGGAGCACTGGGAGCACTGGGATGGGCACTGGGATGGGCACTGGGAGCACTGGGATGGGCACTGGGATGGGCACTGGGAGCACTGGGATGGGCACTGGGATGGGCACTGGGAGCACTGGGATGGGCACTGGGAGCACTGGGATGGGCACTGGGATGGGCACTGGGATGGGCACTGGGAGCACTGGGATGGCACTGGGAGCACTGGGAGCACTGGGATGGGCACTGGGATGGGCACTGGGATTTACTGGGCTGTGCTGTGGGGTAACTGGGAGGTTACTGGTCCATACTGGTTCATACTGGTCTGTACTGGTCCATACTGGTGCAGTGTGGTGGGCTCTGGGGGCAGCGCAGCAGCAGTGGACTGGGAGCACTGGGATGGCACTGGGAGCACTGGAAAGGGCACTGGGAGGGAACTGGGAAGGCACTGGGAGCATTGGGATGGCACTGGGAGCACTGGGAATAACTGGGAAGGCACTGAGAGCACTGGGATGGCACTGGGAGCACTGGGAGCACTGGGAAGGCACTGGGAGCACTGGGAGCACTGGGATGGCACTGGGATCACTGGGAGCACTGGGAAGGCACTGGGATGGCACTGGGGCGTTACTGATCCATACTGGTCCATACTGGTCTGTACTGGTCCATGCTGGTGCAGTGTGGTGGCTCTGGGGGCAGGGCAGCAGCAGCAGACTGGGAGCACTGGGATGGCACTGGGAGCACTGGGAGCACTGGGAAGGGCACTGGGAGTCACTGGGAGCACTGGGATGGGCACTGGGAGCACTGGGAATAACTGGGAAGGCACTGAGAGCACTGGGATGGCACTGGGAGCACTGGGAGCACTGGGAAGGGCACTGGGAGTCACTGGGAGCACTGGGATGGCACTGGGAGCACTGGGAATAACTGGGAAGGCACTGAGAGCACTGGGATGGCACTGGGATCACTGGGAGCACTGGGAAGGCACTGGGAGCACTGGGAAGGCACTGGGAGCACTGGGAAGGCACTGGGAGCACTGGGAGCACTGGGAAGGCACTGGGAGCACTGGGAAGGCACTGGGAGCACTGGGAGCTCTGGGATGGGCACTGGGATGGCACTGGGAGTTACTGGGTTGTGCTGTGGGGTAACTGGGAGGTTACTGGTCCGTACTGGTCTGTACTGGTCCGTACTGGTCCGTACTGGTCCGTACTGATCTGTACTGGTCCATACTGATCTGTACTGGTCCGTACTGGTCCGTACTGGTCCATACTGGTCCATACTGGTCCGTACTGGTCCGTACTGGTCCATACTGATCTGTACTGGTCCGTACTGGTCCGTACTGGTCCATACTGGTCCATACTGGTCCGTACTGGTCCGTACTGGTCCATACTGGTCCATACTGGTCTGTACTGGTCCGTACTGGTCTGTACTGGTCCTTATTGGTCCATACTGGTCCGTACTGGTCTGTACTGGTCCGTACTGGTCTGTACTGGTCCATACTGATCTGTACTTGTCCGTACTGGTCCGTACTGGTCTGTACTGGTCCATACTGATCTGTACTGGTCCGTACTGGTCCATACTGGTCTGTACTGGTCCGTACTTGTCTGCACTGGTCCATACTGATCTGTACTGGTCCGTACTGGTCCATACTGGTCTGTACTGGTCCGTACTGGTCCGTACTGGTCCATACTGGTCTGTACTGGTCCGCACTGGTCCATACTGGTCCGTACTGGTCCATACTGGTCCATACTGGTCTGTACTGGTCCGCACTGGTCCATACTGGTCCGTACTGGTCCGTACTGGTCCATACTGGTCCATACTGGTCCGTACTGGTCCGTACTGGTCCGTACTGGTCCATACTGGTCCATACTGGTCTGTACTGGTCCATACTGGTCCATAATGGTCCGTACTGGTCCATACTGGTCCATACTGGTCCGTACTGGTCCGTACTGGTCCATACTGGTCCGTACTGGTCCATACTGGTCCATACTGGTCCGTACTGGTCCATACTGGTCTGTACTGGTCCGTACTGGTCCATACTGGTCCGTACTGGTCCGTACTGGTCCGTACTGGTCCTTACTGGTCCGTACTGGTCCATACTGGTCCGCACTGGTCCATACTGGTCCGTACTGGTGCAGTGTGGCGGGCGCTGGGGGCGGCGCAGCAGCAGCGGACGCGGCTCCGGACGTGGATCCAGCGGCACTTCCAGGAGCTCCAGGACGTCGCAGGTGATTCCCAGGAATCCCACTGGGAATTCCAGGATTCCCATCAGGAATTCCAGGATTCCCTTCAGGAATTCCGGGGTTCCCTTCAGGAATTCCAGGATTTCCACTGAGAATTCCAGGATTTCTGTCAGGAATTCCAGGGTTCCCTTCAGGAATTCCAGGATTTCCACTGAGAATTCCAGGATTTCTGTCAGGAATTCCAGGATTCCCTTCAGGAATTCCAGGATTTCCACTGAGAATTCCAGGATTCCCTTCAGGATTTCCACTGGGAATTCCAGGATTTCTGTCGGGAATGCCAGGATTTCCGCCTGGAATTCCAGGATTTCCTTCGGGAATTCCAGGGTTTCCTTTGGGAATTCCAGGATTTCCTGCGGGAATTCCACCCCCCCCTCCCCCGACCACCACGGGAAACCCTTGGGAGGGGAAGGGGGGAAGGAATCTCTGGGATTTGTCCTTGGATTTTGGGAGGTTTCCCAGGATTTGGGGGGTTTCTCCAGGGTTTTCCCTGGATTTGGGGGGGGTTTTATCCAAACCTGGGGGGTTCTCCAGGATTTTTTACCCAGATTTGGATTTTTTTTTTCCAGCCGGATTAGGTTTTTTTTTTCACCCGGATTATCCCCCTGGATCTGGGGGGGTTTCTCCAAATTTTCCCCCTGGATTTGGGAGTTCCTCTGGGATTTTTCCCTGGATTTGGAGGCTTTGTCCTGGATTTCGAGGTTTTCCCTTGATCTGGGGCCTTTTCCCTGGTTTTGGGGGTTTTCCCTGGGATTTTTCCTTTATTTTCGGGGTTTCCCCCCTCGATTTTCCCTGCATTTGGGGCTTTCTCCGGAATTTTGACCTGGATTTGGGGCTTTGGACCCACATTCCGGTGTTTATCCAGGTTTGTTTTTTTTTTTTCCTGGATTTGAGGTTTTAACCTGAATTATTTGGGCTTTTCCCTGGGATTTGGGGCTTTCCCTGGATTTTCTCCTGGCCTTGGACGTTTCTCTGGGTGTTTCCTTGGCATTTTCCCCCCTGGATTTGGGAATTTCTCCATGTTTTTACCCGAATTTTCCCCCATGGATCCGGGGCATTCCCTGGACGTTTCTCTGGGTGTTTCCCCGGGATTTCCCCCCTGGATTTATGGAATTCCTCCATGTTTTACCCCCATGGATCTGGGGCGTTCCCTGGACGTTTCTCCGGGCGTTTCCCTGGGATTTCCCCACTGGATTTTGGGAATTGCTGCCGTTCCAGGGCTGCTGTGCCGGACCCTGGAGGGCTCCCGGCGCTGCTCTGCGGGCTGGAGGATGTTTGGGAAGAGCTGCTACTCCTTTTCCTGGGAATCCTTGAGCTGGGGGGACGCCCGGGACGCCTGCGCCGACCTCGGAGCCCACCTGGTGGTCGTCGACTCCGAGGGGGAGCAGGTTTGGAAAACACAACATTCCCTGGATTCATTCCCGCTTCCCACGGGCCATTCCACTCTGGAATTCCCACCCTGGAATTCTCACTCTCGAATTCCCACTCTGGAATCTCCACCCTGGAATTCCCACCCTGGGATTCCCACCCTGGAATTCCCACCCTGGAATTCCCATTCTGGAATTCCCACCGTGGAATTCCCATTTTGGAATTCCCACCCTGGAATCCCCACCCTGGAATTTTCCCACCCTGGAATTTTCCCACCCCTGGAATCCCCATCCTGGAATTATCGCCATGGAATTCCCATTTTGGAATTCCCACTCTGGAATTCCCACCCTGGAATTTTCCCACCCTGGAATTCCCAGCCTGGAATCCCCATCCTGGAATTCTCACCATGGAATTCCCACCCTGGAATTCCCATTTTGGAATTCCCACCCTGCAATACCAACCCTGGAATTCCCAACAAGGAATTCCCACCCTGGAATTTTCCAACCTTGAAATTCCCTTTTAATGGAAATGAAAATCCACCCTGGGGTTGCCAGTCTGGAATCCCCATCCTGGAATTCCCACTCCGGAATTCTCACTATAGAATTCCCATCTTGAAATTCCCACTCTGGAATTCCCACCCTGGAATTCTCACCATGGAATTCTCACTCTGGAATTCCCAGTCTGGAATTCTCACAACGGAATTCCCATCTTGAAATTCCCACTCTGGAATTCCCAGTCCTGAATTCCCACTTTGAGATCCCTACCCTGGAAATTCTCTCCTGGAATTTCCCCCTGTGGAATTCCCACTTTGGAATTCTCACACTGCAATTCCCACTCTGGAATTTCCAGCCTGGAATTCCCCACCCAGGAATTCCCAGCCTGGAATTCCCACCCAGGAATTCCCAGCCTGGAATTCCCACCCAGGAATCCCCACTCTGGAATTCCCAGCCTGGAATTCCCACCCAGGAATTCCCAGTCTGGAATTCCCACTCTGGAATTCCCACCCAGGAATCCCCACCCAGGAATTCCCAGCCTGGAATTCCCACCCAGGAATCCCCACCCAGGAATTCCCAGCCTGGAATTCCCACTCTGGAATTCCCACTCTGGAATTTTCCCACCCTGGAATTCCCAGCCTGGAATCCCCATCCTGGAATTCTCACCATGGAATTCCCACCCTGGAATTCCCATTTTGGAATTCCCACCCTGCAATACCAACCCTGGAATTCCCAACAAGGAATTCCCACCCTGGAATTTTCCAACCTTGAAATTCCTTTTAATGGAAATGAAAATCCACCCTGGGGTTGCCAGTCTGGAATCCCCATCCTGGAATTCCCACTCTGGAATTCTCACTATAGAATTCCTATCTTGAAATTCCCACTCTGGAATTCCCTCCTGAATTCCCACTTTGAGATCCCT